TAATAATCTAATTATATAATTATAATCTAAAATCGATTTTTATACATTAAAATTCATACCTGTGTGCCAACCTTCTGATCGATTAGCACCCTAATTTTTTCTAAATCATCAGGTAGCTCCTGATGATTTTTCCTATCAGTAGACCACTTATTCAAGGAAAAAAATTGTTATAGGCTGTAATATACAAAATCAGTTTTATAATTACCTCAGAAGTAGTGGAAATACGAATAGGTTCTTCACAACAGGACATAAAAAGGGCAATCGATACCATGCCTAGGACTGCAGCAGCAGGAGACATCCGCCGATAGCATTACGTCTGTAGTCAGTGGCTCCACACATCTCCCTGTACAACAAAGCCAAAACTGTCGAGCCCCAACTGAACGATCCGACGAGATAAAAGTCGCTAAGATGTCGCAACCACATGCAGTGAACTAGGTTGCGCAATTTGTTCGGCATCAGCAACCCTCCTATCAACTTTAGTATGCATGCCCGTGCATACATCTTAACCTCATCCTCAGAGGCGTTTGCGCTCAACTCCCGAAAATTGGCATCTAACAAATTTAACGGTATCCTACCTCCGATAAAATTTTCCGGGACACGTCCTAGACTATCCCGACACAAAGTAGTCCAAGAACCGGAAGCTATCCCCGATATCACATCTCCATCCACCGGAAGCTCCAGGTGCATAGAAACATCCTTAAGCGTGATCGTGCACTCTCCGCACTGAAGATGGAATATGTGGGTGTCCGGCCTCTACCGCTCTACTAAGGCAGAGATCAGGTCTGACTCTATCTTACAGTGACCCTGATATCTACCTATGTAACCGAATCCAACCTCTACTAAATACGGTAAGATACGGCTAGGTATCACTAACTTAAGATTCATACTAAAAGGATCTAATACACGGTCCTTCTCCTAAAAATAAATAATTACAAAAATTAATTCTTACTCTAATAATCATGCATTAAATAAATCAACTAATTATTACTAATAATTTAAATTAAATTAAAACGTTAAAATATTACCGTATCAGCAAAGTGTCGAGATAGAGTATTTGAGAGAAATTTAGAGAATTTGAGAGAATTTGGTGTGATAAAAGTGATTAAGGATGGAGATATTTATAAGGAGGATGGGGACGTGTATTTAGGAGTATAACGCGCCCCCTGCACCGCGCTATACCTCACGTGTCAGATACTCAGGTATAATGCGGATCAGGAGGCGCGCTATACCCACGTGACGCCAGATCACCGTATATCGCGGGGCAGGGGGCGCGCTATACTGTTATAGATGTTAGATCAAAAAATATAATCTGACCGGTATTAGATCAGTAAATATACCAATCACCAGTGATTTATTGGGAAAATTGCCCAACAATTAGTATATCATTATTCATGCTAAAATGAAAATGAAAATAAAGAAATGTGGTCTGGTATCCAGCAGAGATTCAGTCTTTTTTTAACAGAGCTTTCAGTGTCCCAACCCACATGTCCCCATTCCTAATCCTCACTCACTCCCTTTGCTTTCACTCTCAAGTTCGTTCAATTGCTTTCATGCCATTCAATTAACACTACAAATCCTTTCCCATTCTCGAAGAAAGTTCGATCCTTTACTTACATTTTCACGGAAAGGTAACATTTTTACTCCACTTCTATTACCAAAAACAAAATGAACGCCTTGGTTTTGGTTCAGAATTGTATTTCTGGGGTTGGTTTGACTAGCTGTTTAAGCTTTCTATGGTAATAATATCATTAATGCATGATAAAAGATAATGCATTTTTCTTCTCTTTGGCTTTAGTTGTTTCCAATATTTGTTTGGTTTGATGGGTTTTTCTTGTTTTAGATCTGTTTCTGCTTTTCTACAAGAAATGCACATTCGTTGTCTTATTGTACGTTTTGATAAATGTTTTCTGTTTTAATACTGTTTGGTAGCTGAGAAAGTTCTTTTTCTCCTTCCCTTCTTTAAAGGAATCATCAAGTTCACATCACTTTGGCTTTTAATTTAAACTCCATTAAATGATCCCTTCCTGGTAATTGTAATGCCTAATGACAGCTCACAGAAACCAGACCACTGTATTTGCTACTGTTGTACTATGTCGTTTTCTTTATTTTGCTCCGAATCCAGAATCCAGATGGAAGTGTGATGTGTTAACAATTATTACTCATTGTTCTTCCTGGATTTTTTTTATTTTTTTATTTTTGCAGGTTTTTGTGTTGAAAGCTTTCCTACAAGTTTAGTTTTGCCTGGTAATAAAGAAAAAAACCAAACACTTCAGTTTTTTCTTCTTCTGATAACCCTTGTCCCGTGTCGCCACTTGCTTAACTGTGGGGTGTTCTTTAGAACAAAGATGCAGAAGCCTCCACAAGCTGCAGACTTTGCCTTGAAGGAGACCTCGCCGAACATCGGGGTGGGAGCTCTTACGGGCGATAAGCTTGTGAGCACCTATGACCTCGTTGAGCAGATGCAATACCTCTATGTTCGAGTTGTGAAGGCCAAGGATTTACCTGGAAAGGATGTTACTGGTAGTTGTGATCCGTATGTCGAAGTTAAACTCGGGAACTACAAGGGAATCACTAAGCATTTCCAGAAGAAGAGCAATCCAGAATGGAATCAAGTGTTTGCTTTCTCGAAAGAAAGGATTCAAGCTTCTGTTTTGGAAGTTTATGTGAAGGACAAGGATGTCGTCGCGGATGATTTAATCGGCAGGGCCTTGTTCGATCTCAATTAAATTCCGAAAAGAATTCCTCCAGACAGTCCATTGGCACCACAGTGGTATAGATTGGAAGATCGGAAGGGTAATAAAGTTAAGGGAGAGCTCATGCTTGCTGTCTGGATGGGAACTCAAGCAGATGAGGCATTTCCTGATTCATGGCATTCGGATGCTGCATCGGTTGGCCCTGATGCGGTTTCAAACATCCGATCGAAAGTCTATCTTTCCCCCAAGCTTTGGTATGTGAGGGTGAATGTGATTGAAGCTCAGGACTTGGTACTTACTGATAAAAGCATGTTCCCTGAGGTTTTCGTGAAAGCGGTTCTCGGAAATCAGGCTTTGAGAACTAGAGTATCTCAAAGTAAGACTATCAATCCAATGTGGAATGAAGACTTAATGTTTGTAGCTGCTGAACCTTTTGAGGAGCCTTTGGTTCTAAGTGTGGAAGATAGGGTCGGATCGAACAAGGATGAAAGCTTGGGTATGTGTGTGATCCCTTTGCATATGGTGCAGAGAGGGTTAGACCATAAACCAATGAACAGTAGGTGGCTCAATCTGGAGAAACATGTGATTGTTGATGGAGAGAAAAAAGTGATAAAATTTGCAAGTAGGATTAACTTGAGGATCTGTTTAGAAGGAGGGTATCATGATTTGGATGAATCTACTCACTACAGTAGTGATCTTAGGCCGACGGCAAAACAATTATGGAGACCGAGCATTGGAATTCTGGAACTGGGTATTCTAAGTGCTCATGGTCTGATGCCGATGAAAATGAAAGACGGACGAGGAACCACAGATTCTTATTGTGTGGCCAAGTATGGGCAGAAATGGGTCCGGACAAGGACGATCATAGACAACTTTGTGCCAAGGTGGAATGAGCAGTACACTTGGGAGGTTTTTGACACTTGTACTGTTATTACGGTAGGTGTTTTTGACAATGGTATATTCATGTGGGAGCCGGAGGGTCAAAGGACTCGACAATTGGGAAGGTACGGATTCGACTTTCTACACTTGAAGCTGATAGGGTCTATACTCACTCATACTCTCTTCTGGCGCTGCATCCTTCGGGGGTTAAAAAGACTGGTGAAATTCAATTGGCTTTGAGGTTCACCTGCTTTAGTTTGATTAACATGCTGCATATGTATTCACATCCACTATTGCCGAAGATGCACTACATTCATCCATTGTCTGTGGTTCAGCTCGATGTCTTGAGGCATCAAGCAATGCAGATTGTCTCGATGAGACTGAGCCGGGCTTAGCCTCCTTTGAGGAAGGAAGTTGTGGAGTACATGCTCGATGTCGATTCACACATGTGGAGCATGAGGAGAAGCAAAGCAAACTTCTTCAGAATCATGGGAGTTCTGAGTGGGTTGATTGCTGTTGGAAAATGGTTTGATCAAATCTGCAACTGGAGGAACCCTCTTACAACCATTTTGATTCACATCCTTTTCATCATATTGGTTCTTTATCCCGAGCTAATACTACCCACAGTTTTTCTCTACCTTTTCCTAATCGGTATCTGGAACTACCGTTGGAGGCCTCGACACCCTCCTCACATGGACACTCGACTCTCTCATGCTGATGCCACTCATCCTGATGAATTGGATGAAGAGTTTGATACCTTCCCCACTTCTCGGCCCTCAGACATTGTCCGGATGAGGTATGATCGTATAAGAAGCATAGCAGGGAGAGTTCAGACCGTGATCGGTGACCTTGCAACACAAGGGGAAAAAGATTCCAGTCTCTGCTAAGTTGGAGGGACCCCAGAGCAACCACTCTATTTGTGACATTATGCTTGATCGCGGCCTTGGTTCTTTACGTCACGCCATTCCAAGTTATTGCTCTTCTGACAGGCCTTTACATCTTACGGCACCCGAGGTTCCGCCACAAGCTTCCATCTACACCTCTTAACTTCTTTAGGAGACTGCCTGCAAGATCAGACAGCATGTTATGAGCACAGCCAGGCATTATATGTTCCTCCTCTCCGAAGTCTAGCTTTGGAAGAACGAAGCGGCACTTGGAGCTCTTGAGTTGGTGGTGAATTCATGGTTTTGCTATAACTTGTATAATTATATAATTCTCATCTTCCTTATTTAAGTAAATTTCATGCCGACTGCAATCTCTTTCTATGCTTTTCCCCCTTGACAATCTCTTGTATCCTATGTTGTCAAGCTCTAGATTTTAACTTCATCATAATTACATTTCTCTTTTCCAAGTATTATTGCATGATCAAAGTCTCCATCATTTGCTTTCGGTTTTTATAGATTCGGATCAAAAAAGCGAGCACAGCAATGGACGACATTATCATAATTTCATTACACATGAAAAATAGCTACACAACTGTACACAATTTCAGATTCAACACTGAGAATGGTCTGACCAGGCATTGATCCCCTACACCTTACACCCATTTTGCGCCTCCTACTACTGCATTCCCTTCTAAGGGCAAACAGCAAACAGCAAATCACTAATTACAACTACTGTTTAATATAAAATACCAATACTAACAATAATACTAGTTAGATAAAACCACGAGTGATGCTTCCACGGCCATGCCGGCTAAAACCAGCTTCGAATGATGGAAAGAATTTTGTATGATTGTTCAGTTAACCAGCATGTGATCAAATCCTGCACCGGCCTGAAGAGTTGGTACCCGACTCACCCCAACATTGTGAAGCAACTGCTGCAGCCACCTCCTAGTGGTTTGATCTTCCTAGAAGCATGAACAAAGTGGATGATGAGACAAAATAAGGAATATGTAAATCAATCTTTTTGAGTGGATTTAATTTTACCTACCGGTTGAAAATATCCAATCGGTTTTTAGTTTTTAGTTCAAATGATACAAAATAGTTGGCTGAACATGTTCACAAGATACTTTTGGGTTTCAACAAGAGCCAGAGAAACAATAGGAGTAATATTTTTCAATTTTAACTTTATGGCCACCAAAAATAGAACCCTTAACAGCTCGACTCTTCAAGATAAAATACAACTTGATGACCATGCATTAATCATAGCCAATAATAAAAAAATAATAGAAATATCAGTACTTACACGAAGGCAACTACTAAAGGAGGCATCTCGTAACATATCCGGAAGGCAACTTCTTAACGCATCGCCAGCCCTGAATTTATTATCAACTTTATGCATAAACCTCAAAAAGAAACTAGGGAAAAGTAAAGAAAGAGGGTGAGCTAGAGCCAAAAACTAATGAATGAATCCATTATCAACTTCATTAACAAACCTTGGGTTATCTGACAATCGAAGATAACATCGAATAATATGTTTTAACAGTCGTGAAGAGGGTTGCTCAGCAAGTGCTGCAACCATATTTCCTAGAACTCGACCAACTGCAAAAAACCGCTCTGCAGTAGTGCAAATATAGTCCAAGCCAACATCATCCAGTAGAATCTTCTGAACTATAAAAGTGGCAACCTGCCATCAAACAATCATTTGTCACTTATCAAGAAAATTTACTGGTTTAGGGCTTAACTCTGTAACAAATGAACAACAGAATGAGAAGATGTCCCTTTTAAATTAATCAAGCTATACAACAATCATCAACCAAAAGCCAACCTACCCAGAATCCCGACCCGCCTATTCTTCATAACACAATAGCCTATACCTAAATCCAATGTTCACTGATAGTAGATTAACAGTGGCAAGGCATGAATCAGCCTAAACCTATTCTTGGTTATTCGAATCTGCCAAAAATAAATAAATGTTTACGTATTTGTGGCCCTTGGCAGGCTACACGGCTGTAGGCACCTCAAGAACGCAAGTTGGTATCCAAAAAATTTCACTACTAAAACAAAATAATTTCAGATAAAATACATAGGGAAACAGAAATGGCAGATAATTTAGCACAGTTGGTAAAGTAACAAAATCGACAAACTCAACTGTTTTTGATAGTTCACTGCCCATCTCCATTGTGCGCAGACATAGTGGGATTATCTCAGTTGAAAGAAGGAAGCTGATAACTTCTGTATCATCAACCTGGAAAAGAAAGAAAGGAAAAGATAATTTTATAGGTATATTTAAAATTATTATGCAGACACGGATGAATAACAACACAAAGATAATTGCTAGTTTGGTTGAAATTTGACAGTTATAAGAATCTCTTTCCCAAACATCAAGTGTTACACGGAACAAAGATTTTTACTTTAAGAAGCAAATATTACATATTAAAACAAAAGCCAATATACAGAGCATCATCTATTGCATGCTCTCAAACCTGAGGGGTCGGAACAGAGAAAGAGAAGAAAAAACAATATACATTTTTTTTTATAGAAATAGGGCCTCATTAAAAAACCCCTTCATAACCATTAAGCTCCTAAAAACTCAATGATCATAGGAAGGAGGAAAAGAGTGCCCAAAGATTTATTACTAGAGTAATAAATACAAGTAGTTCAGAACATAAAATACAACAGAAAACCCCTTTAAACCAACCCGAAAGACAACCACCAAATACAAACACACAAAACCTTGTGCTATCCTATGCTTGATTTAGCTAAACGATCAGCTTCCACATTTATACATCTGTTAACAAGCCTAGTAGTTACATTGAACTCACTAACTAACTTGGCTATAACTCTGACCACATGAACATAAAGATCTGGACATGTTTCCGGATTGGAAATCCACTTTAGTTCATTATAGGAATCACTCTCTAAAATTAGACTTCCTTTATCCCTCCAAACCGATTTCAAAAAAAAATCTAATCCAGCATGAATTGCTTTTAAACAATATACATATTTGACTTTTGCCCCTTTCTCTCGCATTATTTCATTTTTCAAGTGAAAAGACATTACTAACACCTAGGAAATGGATGCACAATGCTCTAGACTAAAGAGATGTGGAACAGAAAGTAGTTCATTAATTAGCTCCTGAAAAGCATGCAATGGATAATTCCTATTGGTTATCTGGTTATGATTACAGGATTCAAGTGACACAAATAAGGAAACCAAAATGCAAATAGGGTATGTGTGCTTACCTTCACCAAGGCACCAATCACACCTAAGCTAGTAAGCCTCAAATACTCAAAAGGCCTTGATTTACTTGTTGTATTAAGGAAAGGATACAGATACAAGGGCATATGAGCTGCAAATGTAAAATAATTAGTGAGAAACATCAATTAGAATATATGCAGCTTTATACACGTGATGAAAAGACTATTTGTCATTTGTTAAATAATTATAGGAAGCAAGAAAGTAACATCCCTACAAAAGAAAAGAAAATTTGCCTTATTTATTATTATTATTTTTTGGTTGGGGGGGAGAGAGAAAATAACAAACTAACAACAAGCAAAAGTACCAAGTAACCAAGTGATAATGTGGAAATACAATGTATCCTAACCTTCTACAAACAAGTTATGCACTTATCCCAAAGGGCATATACACATTACACAGTGTCGAGAATATCTAAATTAAATATTAGATAGGATCAGTTTTAATTAGATAGAATCAGTTTTTATTCTATTAGTTATTGGATAGGATCATTTTTAATTAGATAGAATCAGTTTTTTATTCTATTAGTTATTAGATAGGATCATTTTTAATTATATAGAATCATTTTTATTCTGTTGTTAATTTTATGCATCTTTTTATGTAAAGTTGTTACATTGTAAACTCTATTTAAGTCAGCCATATTCAGCAGAAATAAACACGATTTATTCGGAACAAGTTTTTTCGTCTTTATGGTGTCAGAGCCAGGTTGGCCAAACCCTACGATGATACCTCTGGTATCGACTCTATGAGTTCTACTCGCTCACCTTCAATCACCCTAAACACTGAATCCTTCCAAAACATATCCATCACTTCTCACAAGTTGAATGGAAATAATTTCTTACAATGGTCACAATCTGTGAAACTATTTATTCGTGGCCGTGAAAAATTCGGCTATCTCTCAGGTACTACTACAAAACCTGCCGAAGAAGATGAAGAATCTGAAAGATGGGAGGCAGAAAACTCGATGATTATGTCTTGGCTCATAAATTCCATGGATCCGAGTGTAGGGAGAAATTATCTCTTCCTACCTACTGCTCATGACATTTGGAATGCTGTGAACGAGACCTATTCTGATCTCGGGAACGCAGGACAATGGTTTGAACTAAAAACTCGGTTATGAAGGCTAAAACAAGGAGAAAAAACTGTCACTCAATACTACACTGAACTCAAGACCTTGTGGCAAGAGGTTGACATGTTCAGCGACTACGAATGGAGTTGTGCTAAGGACAGGGCTCTATTCCAGAAGATGGTGGAAAAAGAACGCGTCTTCGAATTCCTTGTCGGCCTTAACAAGGAATTGGATGAAGTCAGAGGGCGCATTCTTGGTCGTGAACCACTACCAACCACAAGAGAAGTCTTCTCCGAAGTCAGACGAGAGGAGAGCCGGCGGACAGTCATGCTTGGAGGCCACTCACCAAATCCCACCGAGTCTTCTGCCTTGTTCTCGGGTCAGCCACCACGTCGCAACGATCGTCGGAACGACAGAGATCGGCCAATCTGCGAGCACTGCAACAAGTCGGGACACACTAAAGCCAAGTGTTGGAAGCTACACGGGAAGCCAGCCGAGAATTTTTCAGCCAATCGAAATTCTCGTAATGCAAAGGGATTCCATGCCTCATCTGAAGATGCTTCTGAAGAGCCGAAACCTGCCTCAGAACTGTCTGCCTTCAGCAAAGAACAGCTAGAGCAATTGTATCAACTAATGAGTTCTCATTCCCTATCCAACACTCCTAACCCATCATCTTATATTGCCTCTTCATCATTAGCCCAGAAAGGTACATATCCTACAGCTTTCATAGCCGGTTCTAAATCAAACCCTTGGATCATAGATTCAGGGGCAACAGATCACATGACCGGTAATTCCTCCATATTCTCATCTTATTTTCCTTTATCTGGTAATCTGAAGGTAAAAATTGCTGATGGCTCCCTAACCTCTATAGCTGGAAAAGGCTCTATCATTATTTCTCCATCTCTCACATTACTAAATGTCCTACATGTCCCAAAGCTCTCTTGCAATCTCATCTCTGTTAATCGTATAATTCATAATTGCAAATGCATTGCTACAATTACATTTGCTGGATTTGAATTTCAGGACCCTTGTTCGGGGAAGATGATTGGCAATGCTAAGGAGGTTGATGGACTCTATCACTTGGTCACGGACAATCCTTCAGATAAACAAGTTCAGAAACCGAGATGTTTTACTACCTTGTCTTGTGAGAATGAAATAATGTTGTGGCATTATAGGTTAGGCCATCCTAGTTTTAATTACTTGAAATATTTGTTTCCAAATATTTTCAAAAAAAAGGACGGTTTTTCTTTTCAGTGTGAAGCTTGTGAATTGGCAAAACATCATAGATCTGTTTATCCATCTTTAAAGTATATGCCATCAAAACTTTTTTCTCTTGTGCATAGTGATATTTGGGGCTCTTCACGAGTATAAACAACCTCAGGATCTAGATGGTTCATCACATTCATTGATGATCACACTAGAGTCGCGTGGATTTATTTACTAAAAGAAAAATCCGAGGCAGCAAGTGTTTTCAAAAATTTGCACTCACTGATCAATACTCAGTTTCAAGCAAATATCCAAGTTCTTAGAACCGATAATGGTCGAGAATATTTTAATGCAATCTTAGGTGATTTTTTGAAACAAAAAGGAATTATTCATCACAGTTCTTGCGTCGATACTCCCCAACAAAATGGAGTTGCTGAAAGAAAAAATAGGCATTTATTAGAGGTGACTAGGGCTTTACTGTTTGCTATGAATGTTCCTAATCATTTTTGGAATGAAGCACTCTTAACAGCGTCTTATTTGATAAATCGAATGCCTACAAGAGTTCTTAATTATATTACTCCTTTGCAAGCTCTAAAGAATATGTTTCCTGAAAATAGATCTTTCACTGATTTAACACCTAAAATTTTTGGTTGCATTGCTTTTGTTCATATACACGGCCAAAATAAAGGAAAACTCGATCCCCGAGCACATAAATGCATATGTCTAGGTTTTTCACCAACACAAAAAGGGTATAAATGCTTTGATCCTAAATCTGGGAAGTATTATGTGAGTATGGATGTCACGTTTTTTGAAAAACAACCTTTTTTTTGACAAAAACTCTCTTCCGGGGGAGAATGACTCTGAAATGAGTTTTTGGGAACAAACATCCTTGCCAAAATCGGTTGTAAATAGCTCAGTGGAACCAATTCATATTTCCGTAACTAATCCTAGGATTTCACAACCTATAAATTCACAACCTCGTGAGACTCAGGTAGAAACCAACTTGGAACCACCTACTGAACTTCGTGTTTATTCTAGACGGATGACTCGACCAAGTAATGTTCCACCGGTCCCCAAGGTATGCCAACCATCGGACTCGACTATGGTCCAAGGTACTACTTCTCTTTCTCCTATTTCTTCTCCAAATTTAGAGCCTTCTACAGAATTCTTTGAACCCATAGCCTTGCGCAAAGGTGTTAGATCATGTACCACAAAACATCTAATATCCAATTTCTTATCTTATAATAAACTCTCTCCAGATTTCAAAGCTTTTTCCACCAGGATTATGGATGATGCACTACCTAAGTCGATACATGAAGCTCTAGAAGTTCCGAGATGGAGAGAGGCAATTTTTGAGGAGTTAAAGGCCCTGAAGAAGAATGACACGTGGGATCTAACTCCTTTACCTGAGGGGAAACGATCTATAGGCAGCAAGTGGGTGTTCACCATCAAATACCATGCAGATGGCTCGGTCGAGAGATACAAGGCAAGACTCGTAGCACGAGGCTTCACTCAGACATACGGCCTTGACTACGAGGAGACCTTCGCACCTGTGGCCAAACTAAACACCGTACGTGTCCTACTCTCACTAGCCGCCAATCTGGATTGGACTCTCAGACAGTTTGATGTGAAGAATGCGTTCCTAAATGGTGAGCTAGAGGAAGATGTGTTTATGGAAGTTCCTCCAGGCTTTGATGAATTGAAGAAGGATGGCAGGGTCTGCAAGCTAAAGAAATCTATTTATGGATTGAAACAATCTCCGAGAGCCTGGTTCGAGAGATTCACGAGAGCTGTGAAACAACATGGTTACACTCAGGCCCAGTCTGATCATACTATGTTCTACAAACACAATAATGGTAAAATTGCTATTTTAATTGTGTATGTAGATGACATTGTTATGACAGGAGATGACACAGTAGAGTTGGAGTCGTTGAAGAACTTCTTATCCAACCAGTTTGAAGTCAAGGATCTAGGACAACTCAAATATTTCCTTGGAATGGAGGTGGCTAGATCCTCAAAATGTATAATTATCTCGCAAAGGAAATATGTCCTCGATATCTTGAAAGAGACCGGATTACTCGGATGTAAACCAGTGGCGACTCCTATTGATCCGAATCAAAAACTCTCTTCTGGGGGAGAATGACTCTGAAATGAGTTTTTGGGAACAAACATCCTTGCCAAAATCGGTTGTAAATAGCTCAGTGGAACCAATTCATATTTCCATAACTAATCCTAGGATTTCACAACCTATAAATTCACAACCTCGTGAGACTCAGGTAGAAACCAACTTGGAACCACATACTGAACTTCGTCTTTACACAGGATAGGACTTTTAGTTCAAGGGTACCTAGAAAAGACAAATGCACAAGTGTCCGACATGAATTCAACCTTTCTGCCATTACAACCCCATGAAAGGAACAAGAAACCAAATTTTGTATTACAGTTGTAAAAATTATTAAATAAAGTAGGAAATTTTGCAAAAATCAACCATTAACTTTTTATTATATACAATTTTATTCAGAACATCCAGAAATAGAAAATGAGGACAGTTTTTATAAGATTATGCATATATCAAATCGTTTACATTTACCGATCAGCTACTATATAAAGTTTCTAGTAGTCTTCTCACATGAATTGCAGTTCAAATAAAACTTCAACAGTTATAGGGGCGTTTTTACCGCATAAAAAATCATTTGAAAATTAACTACATCAGAAGTATTATTACTTTATAAACTGTCAGTGAAATTATAATCTCCACATGTCTGGTTAAAAGTTTTCCATATGACCATTTAATAATTAAATGATTTATTCTTTTTCATAAATATTTCCGTGTAGACCCAATGAAGTTTAATAACTCTTATAGTTGGTGTATAGGATAATCTTTCTACAGAAAAGAAATCTTATGGTGAAAAAAGATAATTGAAAAATCAGTTAATTGTTGATTCCATGACCTCAAACAGTATTTATATCCCTATTCAGCAAATACCCAACTTCTATGATTCCAGCAACAAGAAATCTCAATACAATGATTTGTACTCAGGTGCTTGAAGGCAAATCCAATTTGACAGCATGCTATTTCAGAGGAATATCCATAACTAATAATGAAATCTTCTTAAATATGTAACTTCAAGAATTAAATAAGAAAAGTAAATATTCAGGTCATGTGTTAAGGAACAGGGTACACACGTATGCGCATCAGATAAGAACATACCATTTAGGAATAACATCCTTGTGTCCGGATGAGAAGCCACACACTGTAAGAAAAGATGAAAATTAAGGCACATTAGCAGAAATTTAAAAGAAAATAAAAATGTGGATTGGGCACCTGGCTTGGTTGAACCAAGAACCGATTGCCTATAAGTCTAATGAATGTAAATAAACCGGTTCAGATAGAAGACCGAATTAAATGGGTTTTAGGGAGTGGTGGCGACTTGTGTCTTTGGCCTTCTATTTCTATATTAAATGCCATACAATTAATCTTTTTTCTTAATACTAATTCAATATTAAAATCCTGTATATGATATTTAAACCTCCTTTATGGAAAGGGCCAGTTGAACTGATTAAACCTCCTTTAAATATTTTTTTTAATTTGACCAAAACCAAAATGAACAAAAGTTCCAGTAAAACATATTTTTCTCCTTCAAAAATAAACTGAGAAAAAAAATGTAAAACAAACTCAAAGGTAACATTAGTCATGACTTGTGAGTTACCATTAGTGAGCAAAATTCAGTCCAACAGAAACAGTAGAAAAGGCCAAAAATATATCACCTGAAGTAGAGCAAGAGCATTACAAACTCGATTTGACTGAGCTGGAGTCAGATTTGGTGGTGAGAGAACAGGGTAAATTGAGACTGTCTCCTGCAAGAAAAATAGCTTAGCATTAATGAATTGAGACAGAATAAATCCCTAACTATGACAATATTTCGATTTCCAATTGGCAACTTGATTAATAAAAGAATTCATAAGAAGCATCTAGCATGTCAGGTCATTTGACTAAAAAAGACAAGAATCTAATTGTTTTGACCCCCCAAAAAATTAATGATATAAAACTTTTCATAGTGCAAGATAAAAGTCAAAATAAACTCAAAAATCAATTTACACTAAATATACACTTATTTTGAAGCAAACAGCTTTTTCTACATCTTCGTATCCTCATTCTAATTGAGTAGGTCCTAAAAGGAGCAAATATTTTTTGCAAATTGAGTTAAAATGAATTTAAACTTGAAATGATACATACAACAGAATGGAATTGCAAGAAATAAAAATTACACATCCTACAAGCAACTAAGAGGGAACTCTAAGGTTTAAGCTTACAGAGAAATGAAGAAATAGCCCAATAAAGAAATGCATGTTAACCAGTGATGTTAAGGTGCACGCCTACACGCTCAGGTGCAACCAAAATATGGAAAACTCATAATGTCATAAATGTTCTTTATTTTATTAATTAAAATCCCACCAATATTAATTTCGTTAAAATATGAAAACAAATATAAAAAACTATAACGTAACCTTCATCCTCTCCTTAAACCCTCATGTTCTGTCCACCTACACTTTTTCTTCTGTCAGCTTTTATTTGTCTTCTTTTTCCCGCCAATCTTCATTCTCTATCTACTCTACTATATTTTCTTCTAATTTTTTTCTCCTTCTTCATTGTTGACTTTAAAGCCTGTTTAAAAACAAAGGTGTTGCTCTGTTTTAGTGCTAAAAAACAGAGCCCTATTTTTGCCTTTGTATTGTATTGGAATTCATTTTGTTCATTATTTTTCAGATCTGTATTCGATGTAAAGTTTTACCTTCCTAGCTATTATCATTTATTATAAATTTATAATTTATATGTATCATATGACTTTTCTATATATATTTCATATATATTTTTAAATGTATGCACCTTATTTTAATCGGGAAAAAACCTTTTTTGCATAAAAAACAACAGTAACATCAATAACACAATTGGAGAACATTGATCAAATGAACTTAACAAGTTCTCTATCAAGCCTACATGCTAAATCAGTGAATAAGAAATTACAAAAATAACAAAGAAAGGGAATGGGAGAGGGAGATAAAAGAGAAGTGAATCTGGACTTCCAACTATAAATAGCATACCTGTAAAAGTGCAGCAATAGTACCAAAAGAATTCCACAACAATGGAGCCAAATCTTGAAATAGTTCTCTCTTCTAAAAATAAAAACAAAAACAAGTTTATTAGGCATACCTGAATGAGTGCAGCTATAGTACCAAAAGAATTCCACACGAAAGGAGCCAAATCTTGAAATAATTCCTTGTTCTAAAAAATAAACCAAAAGGTAGACACTAGTTTATAGTGGTAACAAACAAATGCTTAACAGCTAAATTGCATAACTGCATATAGAGAAAAAACATGAGAGATTTAAGTTGCAGAACCATGCAGAAAGAAAGAACTATTCTGAGCTATTTACCTTACTTCTAGATCTTTACAAATGACACTGAACCCATATGTTCTATTTTCAAAGATGATGAATTCACTTCAATCAACCACCTATGTCTCCATATCACTCATTGTAGTGAGTAGTCGACAACTTGACTAATTTGCTACTCTCAAGGAAGGATAAGTATTTCAACCTCAATATTCAAAATCATCATGAAGTTGATGCATACAAATGTGGTTGTGGTTTAATAAGATGCTAAATACTTTGAATGAAACCAAAGCCCTTGGTGAGAAAATTGATATGCATCACGTGAAAGGGGGGGGGGGCAGGGGGGGAAGAGCAAATGCAATCTTCAGTTTCCGACCCATTTTATCCTTAATAAAATACATGAGGGGGTTATTCTTAAAAGTTAAAACAAACCAAATGCAAAATAAATACAATCTCCTTCAGGGTTTCAACATAAGAAATGACATGCAATGCAACCATAAAAAAGACATAAGTGAATGAAATTAAGGCTCAATACAAATTAAGAGTAATGAATCTGGTCAACGATTACATTTTAAGCAAAAGTACTTGCAAAAGATGATACCATGCAAGACAAGGAGTAGATTGGTGAGGAGATTCTAAAATACTTTGCACTCGGGGATGGAACATATTTAATGCATTCTTAATTCTACCCTATTCTAAGGAGAGGATTAGCAAGAAGATTCTAAAATTATCAAGACTCTATATCAAACATATATAACACATTCTACCATCTTCTAACTCAACCCAGACTTCTAATAGTAACTGTTCTGAGGAATGTCTTTTCCGCCAGCCGAGCAATACCATTCTTTTAATAGTCTTCATCTCCTATAGCCCAAAAAACTCTCATTATCAGATCAGTATTTTCAATAACTTTTGCCAAACCATGGAAACCCACCATTAATGCATATGTCATACCCGTTCCATGAATCCATTCTCTTTCAGGAAAATTACCATCTATAAACCCAAAAATAAAAGTAAAAAGTTCTGAGGAATTAATTTCTGCAGTGCAGTCTAATATAAAGTGATGATTCAATCCCTATCCATATAAACATAAAACAGGCACTTTTGCATGTAGTTTCTATGGGTTCCTCTAAAACCAAAGATGGATAAATATTTAAAATTAAATATCCCCAAATCACCTTATTTCTCTAAACCAAAACCTTACTTTACGAAACAAACAAGAGAGAAGGCGAACAAGAAGCAACATTTACTTAAATACTATAAAAAGAGTTTTAATGTTGATTAATTACCTTCGATAGTTCGAGAAGAGCGTTCTCCCGGAGATCAGGATTGCTGAGATCGATAACTAAATGCTCGGCCGTTGCCATTTTCCGATCCTTATGCGCCGGGGCTCCTGCGACAGTTGGATTCGATGCGCTGGGTCCCCCGAATAGCGAATTCATCGATGGAGATTGAGGCAGATTTACCGTTAGCATAAATTACAGAAATAGGAAAATAAAAAAAATGTCTCGAAGGAGAAAGAGTTATACCAGAAAATTAATAAGGAGAGAGAGAGAGATAGAATTTGATTCTACAGGGTTCATAAAATAAAGAGTTATTGCCACGTTCATTACATGTACGTGAGATTTGCAATCAAATTTGCCCTCATTGTGCAATTTAACTTGGTTAAACTACACGTTTAGTATCTGAACTACCAATTTTATTTCGTTTTAATACCTAAACTTTTACTTATTTCAAACTTTTACCTAACATTTACTTTTATTTTATTTTAGTACCCTCGTTAGAAAACCGCTGCACGAATTTTTATGGGTAAATTATATCATTCATCATTTAATTATCTTCTCACTCTTATTTTGGTTTCCAACGTTTAAATTTTTTCAATTTAACTACTCAACTTTTAAATTGTTCATGTTTTACTCATTCTAATTTATTTTATTAATAATTTTGTTGACATTAACATTAAAATAAAAAAATAAATTTGAAAGTTAGAGTGATTAACTAAGGAGTAATATGAAAGTTAAGTAATTAAATTAAAAAATTAAATTTCAATGACTAAAATAAGAGTGAGAAGATATTTGAGCGATGAATGATGTAATCTACCCATAAAAATGTGTTATATTATAATAATTCCACTAAGTTTTTAACGAAGATGTATCAAAACGAAATTAAAATAAAATTTAAATATGATTTTGAAATAAATGAAAGTTTAGGTATTAAAATTAAATAAAATTGATAATTTAAGTACTAAACATATAATTTACCCTTGAATCTTTATCCATATTGTAAGTGGTAACTATAAAACAAATAAGTGGTCATTATTTGTTATATTTTTTTATAAATATATAAGATAATATTTGTTTAAAGACTCTTAATCTTTTGACAATTAACATTTTTATATACACGGTGCTTAAAGTCGAGCATAAAAAAAACTCTTAATCATTAAGATTACTTGGTTCATGTTCATTAATTTTATATTTACCACTTTAAGAAAATCATGCAACATTATTTTTTTCTTATATATTATCTTAAAAGGTAAAGTACACAAATGGTCTCTCAACTATATGATGTTACTTTGTTGAATCATCTGACTATTAAAAGTTATAAAATTATCACTCGAATGTTAATATGCTTCAAACTCTTCATTTTCTGTTAAAAAAATTGACAGCAATTTGAGTTGGACGTTAACCTGTTGACTGAGATCTCATAATTTCCAACGACTTTTATATCTTAGTCACCATGTTAACATTCAATTCATACGCTCGTTAATTTTTTAAAGAAAAAGGATAAGTTTATAACATAATGAATAGTCTGGTGATCATTTTATAACTTTTAATAGTCGAGGGACTAAATAAAGCAACACCTTATAATCATTATACTATTTTGTAACTTTTAATAATCGGAGACTCAATAAAATAATATCCTATAGTCATCTGACCATTTATGTACTTTACCCTATTTTAAATTGAATAATGTACAAAATTATTATAGAATGGTTTTTTATTCAATTTATTCTATTTATAAATATTAGGATTTGAATTCGTGATCTTATTTCTAATACCTCACATCACTAAATTATCTCATTTTTTTATAAGAAAATAATTTCTTTTAAAATTATTATATTAAACCGTCTAATACATTTCATTGATCAAAATTTAAACTTCTAATTTTGATAAAATCACATCCATCATTGAATATTCTTGATTTAAAATGCTTAAACCCATCAAAATAAATAAGGATATTATTATCTACTCGATTTAGTAAATTGAGCAAGTATACCGTTTTCATTCTAAATAACTTGCTCTTTTTCGAGGAAATTATAAAATACAATTTGTTGACATAACGTTAAAAAACAACATAAATCAGTTGCAACAGAAATTTTTATCAGTTGCATAATTTTTAGGTTGGATAGAGTAACATTTCGGTTGTAATCGAAAAATGTTATATTATTCATCATATTTTCGAGTGTACGCCCTAAATTCCCGAAATATAACTTTTCGATTACAACAAAAAAATATAAAATTTATATAATTTTTAGGTTAAACATGATAGTATTTTAGATTAAAATCATTTTAAGGCTCAATCTTTTTGTTCTTCTTTGTTTTTTCTTTCGTATACAATTTTACAAATTCTTAAAAATTATTTATCATGATCGTTTTTCACTTCAACAGTTCTCTAATTCAACGAGGATAATGTTAAGAAGCTTGCTTGCTCAGTTAGGGAGTCAAACTATCATGCTTTTTTTTAACTTTTTAAACTTCAACGATTAAAATAAGAGTAAAAAAAATCAGTGATAAATTATGTAATTTACCCTTTATTTAAGAAAACACCTACACATACCAAAAGTCACATCAGAATCACTAAATAAGCTAATAGAATCTGTCATCAATTTGGACTAAATTTGAGAAATCTGAAGGATTATTTTAATACAAATAATAATAGAGGACTAAATCCGCAAAACAAATAGTAACAGGAATGATCTTTAGAATTCTACTTCATAATTGATAAATTAAAGCTTATATCACAAATAAATACCAAAACTATATCACATTTTTCTTTTAGGTACTTAAAATTTTTTTTTGTCAAAATATGTACCAAATATTTTAAATTTAAAAGTAACGTGCACACAAACCAATAAAAAATAATAAATGACATGTTAAACAATTATTTACATAAAAATTAAAGAAAAATAAATTAAATGTTAAAAAAACATAACTCACCCTCGATTAAAACAAGAAAAAGTCTAACAATCTCCAATTTACCTCACTTTCTTCTTCAGAAAAGTTTTCCCTCTTTCCTTCAATTTAAGTAAATTACTAATACAAATTTAAGAAAAATATCATAAAAAATAATGAAGATTGTTGATCTAGTAGATTATAAACATTAGAAATTAAAAATCACAATGGATGAAAAGTTTTCTGATGACAGCTTCTAAAAACACACAAACTCATAAAATCATCAAAAGGAACAGAAAATTGAGAAATGAGTATTTTTTTTCTAACAACCAAACAGCAAAAAAACTAAACCAATAAAGAAAAATGAGTAATTTCCCTAACCCAAAAAGATAAAAATGTGAGTAAGAAAGAGAAACCCAAAACAAAAAAGGGAGCAGCAGTTGCCAAACCTGTTTAATAATGGTGGAAGGGAATGCTTTGGAGTCGAAAATGTAAACCCAGAAACATAATATAAAACCCTTTCTTCATCAACTTCACTTTCAACTTTAAAATCCAAAACAAAATGTAGTCTTTTTCTCCCATTATCGGATTATTCTCGGCTGGCGTTTTTCTCGAAAAATCATCGGTGATCGGTATATTTATCAATCTAACACCAGTCAGACTATATTTCTCGATCTAACACCCTTAACAGTAAAGCGCGCCTCCTGAACCGCGCTATTTGCTGATTTGGCGCCACGTGGGGTAAGGCGCGCGCCTTGCACCGCGCTATATGCTGACATGGGATACACGTGGATATAGCGCGGATCAGGGGTCGCGCCTTACCTGTGTATCTGCCACGCGTCAAAAAGGTGCGCCCCCTGCCCCACGCTATATGTTTAATTACCCCCATACCCCGATGCTTTACACCCCAATCTTCCCTATAAATACCCCTATCCTCAATCACTTTCATCACACCAAATTCTCTCAATTTCTCTCAAATACTCTTATATTCTCTGTTTAAGGTATATTTTATTATATTTTTAATATTTTGTATTTAATTTATTTAATTATTTTAATTTATTTAATATTTTACTTATATATTTTTTTGCAGATATATAATGGAAGACGGCCTACTTCGCTTTGATGGAAATCATATATCTCGACACTTTGCTGATACTGTAACATTTTAACGTTTTAATTTAATTTAAATTATTAGTAATAATTTGTTGATTTATTTAATGCATGATTATTAGATTAAGAATTAATTTTTGTAATTATTTATTTTTAGAAGAATGATCGTGTATTAGATCCTTTTATTAGGAACCTTAAGTTAGTGATACCTAGTCGTGTCTTGCTGTATTTAGTAGATGTTGGATTTGGTTACATGGGTAGATATCAAGGTCACTGTAAGATAGAACCAGACCTTATCTCTGCCTTAGTAGAGTGGTGAAGGCCGGAGACCCACACATTCAATCTTCCGTGCGGAGAGTGCACGATTACACTTGATGATGTTGTTATGCACCTGAGGCTTCCGGTGGATGGGGATGTTATATCAGGGATCGCACAGGATTCATGGGCTACTTTGTGCAGGGAAAATATAGGACGTGTCCCGGAAAATTTTAACGGTGGTCGGATACCGTTAAATTGGTTAGATGCCAATTTTCGGGAGTTGAGCGAGGACGCGTCTGAGGATGAAGTTAAAATGTATGCACGGGCATGCATACTGCAGCTGATAAGAGGGTTGCTGATACCAGACAAATCGCGCAACCAAGTTTACTGCATGTGGTTGCGACATCTGAGCGACTTTCATCTGGTCGGATCATTCAGTTGGGGCTCGACAGTTTTGGCTTTGTTGTACAGGGAGATGTGTCGAGCCACTGACTACAAGCGTAATGCTATCGACGGATGTCTCCTGCTGCTGCGGTCTTAGGCATGGTATCGATTGCCATTTTTATGTCCCGCTGTGAAGAACTCATTCGTATTTCCACTACTCATGAGGTAATTATAAAACTGATTTCGTATATTAATAATTTTATAAAGCGTATAATAATTTTTTTTGAATAGGTGGTCTACTGATAGGAAAAATCATCAAGAGCTACATGATGATTTAGAAAAAATTAGGGTGCTAATCGATCAGAAGGCTGGCACACAAGTATGAATTTTAATGTTTAAAAATCGATTTTAGATTATAGTTATATAATTAGATTATTCTTTTGATAAAAATTATATATATTTGTTTTAGTTTGAATGAGTGTCATATTCTACTGATGATGTGAGGGTAGTGATCCCACCTGAGTTGATGGGCCCATTAGATGTTTGGATGTCGATGGTCCCCTTGATCTGTTATGCGACCGTCGTGTG